CTTGGCCCGGACTGCCTGGCGCCCGCCCACAGGCGCTGGCGCCAAAATACGTTAGGTCCACCAAAATCGCTGAAAACTTGTCTCGTGGGGTAGCTTGACCCCATTTACACGAATATCACAATCGCTTGCCACAAAACTGCCTGGCGCCCGCGCCAAAATGTCCTAGATCATCAAATTTCCTGGAAACTTGTCCCTACCGGTGAACCGACCTCCTAACAAAAATATCATGTCCACTTAACGCGTTGACGAGGATTTCCGTCAATGGTGGACGACAGAAAGTTTGTCTTGTGGAACGGCGTCGCTTTCCCACAGTTATTATATAACTCAAAATCTGCGCGATTGTTTCACTTACTTTTCATAAAATTAGTTCAAGAACAAACATTTTCGGGTCGAGGGATGCGATATTGTTCTTTAGGAGATCAAACCACCCCGGGAGACAAATTTTAGTCAGTTCTGTCTCCAGAGGAAGAATTTGGTAAAAAATGGCCTGATTTTGGAAGATTGGAGCAATAAGAGCTAAATTGTGTCAAAGATTCGAGATTGCTATACTCGTCTCTTGCATTTCTCGATACATTTTGATCGTAGTAATTCATTTATTTGGAAATTACTAAGTTTCAATGTAGAAAAATGTGCCGTCCCACGCGCAAGTCATGGGAAAAATGGCTCGTCGTCAACGTGTTAAGGAGCAGTATGTTTGAACAACGGGATAGAAAATCAACCATAAGCGCTTCCTCATCTTGAAGAGCCTCCGAAAACCTAGCGAAGCTAGAAAGAGTCGCGTTGACGTGATGCAAGATAATGAATGTTCGCGCATCGCTCAAGGCGAACAGTGCTGCTTCAGCTCGTTTTTTCATGATTGGAGATGAGTTCTTGTCTGTGGTCACCCTATTCAAAGCTTGGACTAAGGACAGGATACACACGAAGTATTTTTGACAGCGACGCCTGTAAGCTTGCTGACCACCGTACTAAGTGTAAGGCATCCATTTGCAGGTGAGGGAATCCCATGCTTGTAGCAGTCGCGAAGTAAATAGCACGTGCTCGTGTGCCTAGAGAGGAACCGAATATATTGTGCATTTCCGTAACAACTGCTTGTGTGAGGTTAAAGGCAGCTCCTTTTAGTCCTCTGACCACCAAGTTCAATTTGTGGGCACCACATACGGACAGAAGGAAATGCTCCCGTTTGCCATTTGTTTCTTTTCGAATAAGTTGCTTCAACTGCGCATGGACACCTTCGCGAATACCATCCATTACAGAAGCTCCATCGCTGGAAAGCGCTACCATCCGTCTCATAGCAAAACTGTAGGGTTCCTCATCCAAGCCAGAGTCACTGCCCACGAAGCTAGCCCCTTGATAAAGTTTATGGACGCCTCGAACGATCTCATGTGGCAGATTCGCTTTTCACTTCTACCAGAGCAAGATGGAATGTAATTGGTCGATTCAGAGGCGATATCGTTCGAAGGAGAAAAACAATCAATTTAACGCCCTCATTTGACGTTCCATCGGTGAGCAAAGAGAAATACGAGTCGGTGTCAACCACACACTTTAGTATATCGTATTTCATGTGCTCTGCGAACGTTTGTATCATTCTCTGGGCCGTAGTTGAGTCGTAGTGTGCAGTGGTGGTGGGAGCCGCTCCTGCTCGCATACCCAGCAACAGCAGTGGAAATTGCTTAGCGAGTGGCAATCGTTCTTTAGCTATAGTATATGCAGTCAAAGTAGATGAGACTGTTGCTTCAACATCTTGGGGCACGCTGTAGTCCAATGACCCCATCGTATTGTGAAAATCGCGGAAGTTGTTATAATGTTCCGTAGAAGATTCATGAGTCTATTCTTGAAGCAAGCGAGTTATGCTCTGTCGCGTCTGGAAAATCGTTAAATGCATAAAACAGTGCCCCTTCCCATCATGTTTCTCTTGACGCTTTCGTCCTTCCCTTCATTACATTTTCTATGGTCTTCCTCGGGATCGTATTCGACTTCGTCGCCATCTGTATGTCTGTTGCACAGCTTGCAACGCATAAAATCGGCACTTAGGTCTGGATGGATCTCTGTAGTAGGCAAGCCACGGAACTTTGGCTAAAGTATTTATCTGCTTCAGTGATAACGGTCTACCGTCGAACTTTCATGTGCCAGAGCTCTCGTCTTGAACTTGCCACACCTTCTTTACTTTTGTACAATCCGAATCTTTTTTCTGATCATCACCAGCCAATTCTAGCGCTTCACTAGTCAACGTATTCTTTTCTCTGAGCTCCTCGCGAACCATGCGGAGCTCCAGCTCTACAGTTTCGAATTTTCACAAGTAAATCATTAATCGTGCGCTTCTGCCGAATGACCTCAAGAAAGCATTGCTCTCTCGTTTCCATTGTTTCAGGCGCCCCGCTTTCTCCTGCATCGTTCACATCCATGGGCTCTAGCCTGCAGGTACCCTGCTTCGATCGTCGTCTGATGCGTGGTCACTCGAACCTATATCCATATCGCTCTCTGCTGAAATACAGGGCTGACCTACCGCTGGAGCTAGTTCCATTTTCAGCAAACGCTTGAATTTTTCACCGCTGCAAACATTGCTCTGACGTGGGGAAGCAGCTGTAAGGGCCCAATCAGAGCCGCAGTGAGAGACTGAGATGCCTCTGTCATCAAGAGACTTATAAGGAAGAACATGCAGAGCAGGTCGACTTGGAAGCAAAATTGCAAGCCTCTCCGAAGGTAGCATCCAATTCCGGTCCTGAGTGTGAGCAAAAGCAACAAAGCTCTTGATCCTACTTGAGAGCCATTCTTGAGATGAGCGTGAAACTTCCCGCTTTTCAGTGATATAAATATTGTTGCCTGTTGTAGATGTTTTGACATAAGTAAAACTGTCCACAAAGGTGTGATAGTCTTCGTCGGTGTTCAAGTGAATTAACAAAAAATCGTCTGAAACTTAGGCTCGCGTGCCTGCCCGCTGAAGAAATCCGTTATGCTCTTCCCGTGAGTAGGTTCTACCTTTTTGTTACAGTTAGGCCAGTTGACAAAGCGCGAACACTTGGCTACTTTCTCACTAAATTCGTAGAATTTGAAATCAATACGCGAGTTTTCCTCAAGCGAACTGCCAACAACGTAGAAGTCTTCCAGTTTCCCCTTTTTCTTCTCCCACTTTTTATTGTTGAAGTCGACGAAACTTTTCACGGTGAAAGCGTCTGGTTCACCGAGCTGTAATATATACTTTTACGAAAAGGGATTGTCAAAATACCAAAAACTTACCAAAATCGGCTTTGTTTCCAGAACGAGTAGTCCGTACTTATTCAGATGTATTGAATTATTTCTGTATTGAAAACTAGTCCTTCTTCAAGCGTTTTGCAAAAACGCCCTAGCATTTATGCGCACTCTTCGAAAATAGGGAAAAACTGCTTCTTCCCACGCGGCAGGCACGCGAAATGGCGCCTTGTCGCCAATGTGTTAAAAAGGGACACCCGCCAAGGGCGAAATTTTGCTGCAGTTGAGTTCCCATTTGTTGAGGACCAGTTGAACCAGATCAGCTGAAACCCATTTTTCAAGGTATTGATTGCGTTCGAGCGTCCCCATCAAGAGGCCGCGACGCATACGCTTCGCGCCTGGCCGCGGAGGCCACGGATGCCGCGGATGCCGTCTGTATGAACGCGGCCTAACCATTTTTCCGGCCGCAATTGTTGATTTTTCATTTGTTTATGCTCATTACTTTGTTTCAGTAGTTTCATCATCAAACTTTTCGATTGTTCACCATCGCGTTTCGCTTTTGCGCTCATAGTTTCTGCTCGGCACTAATTTTTTCTGAGGTGGGTTCCATTTTCTAACACTGCTTGCAGTTTTTGAGAACACAAACTTTTTCATTTGTTTATGCTCATTAATTTGTTTCAGGTTTCGTCATCAAACTTTTCGATTGTTCACCATCGCGTTTCGCTTTTGCGCTCATAGTTTCTGCTCGGCATTAATTTTTTCTGAGGTGGGTTCCATTTAAGATCCGAGTGCGGCTGGTAGAGTTAATAGAAATGGAGCCGAGCATTTGGGACGTGAATTGTGATGAATACCATCTGCTAGGGAGGAAATTGGCGGCATGGGAGCGACTTCTGCGGGCTCTCCAAAATGAAGGCTACATAATAACTTGTAGGCTGTAGTCCTCTTCTACGGATCTTCTTATCTGTGGAGTCGGATTACTGATGTGGTCAACAATTGCAGTGTCAGAGATGCAAGCAGCTTGGAAGAGCATAAAAGATGGCCAGAAGGAAGAGGAAAAGACAGGAGTCCGCCACAGACTCAGGCAGCAATAAAAAGTGGAGATACGGAGACATGTTGTCATTTTTGGATAGAACTGATTACGATGGGTATGTCAGCAGAATAAGGTTTCTGCTACGTCCAGTTGAACTGTTGTTCCGGGAGCACAATTTCGAATATTGAGTCAATGCCAATTTCTGCTACACCGAGCAGCAGCCCGTTCATAAGCAGGAGGAAGAGGCAGGTGTGAAGTGGGGCTTGAAAGAAGACAAAGGAAGAAAGGCAAAACAACGACGGTACGGCGGTAGATACGGCAAACAAAAAAGAGTGAACGAAACCAAAACGAACCAAAGCCAATTTATTCCAGAAGCCCTTTACATGATTAAAGAAGCGGCTGCGGCCGTCGAGGCCCAGGTCGAGAAAAGAGAAGAGGTACCGAAAAGAGTTGATGATAGGAAATACTGCAGCGATCATAGCAAATACTGACATTTTGGTATGTATTGTCGTTATTTACTAGGTTGGTGCAAAAGTGCAGGTTTATGTTACACTTGCATTCGTCACCGTCGGAAAACGAAATTCAGTGGCAGGGTCAGTCAGCATAAAGGGTATGAAATCGAATGTAGAAATGAATCTCGTGAAGACAATTCCCGCGATCATGTGTTGTGGGTACTTAGTGCTCCGTCACGAACCAATATCTCATAGGTAGCTCCTCAGTAGGAAAGGAAGCGAAAAAACTCCTGGAAGCACCCTGAACTCAAACCTATCCTCAGCAGCAGTCATGTCGCCACTGTTGCCACGCGCAAGTATCCCTAACTCCTTTATCGCGCCGTTTTAAGGGGTTAAAGTTGTATGTTTTTTGTGACCGGGTATAACAGCTGAAATAGCAAGTCAATTCGAGGACCACTTGAACGCAGGGAGTGTCTTTAAATGTTGTGAGGGAATTCTGCTTACAATGTTGTTACTATTTCGATTAGAGTTGTCCGAGGTGTTTTCTTCAGTTAAACATTCGTTTCGTCCATCGCTATATTTCAAACGTTTGTCGTTTTGTTGAAATCTCAATTTTTTGCTTGCTAGGGTCTGTCTTACCAGGTTACTTCTTATTTTTGTCTACCTCTTGTTTGTCTACAATAAAGAGTTTATTAGTTGTCGCTGTTAATAAAAGTGTTTTCTTCGCTTGTGTTAATCTGTCGGTTGGAGCGCCGGACTCCATGTGGATCCCGTCAGCGGATACATTCATGACTATTTCCGTTTCTGAATTGCCTGTTGTCGCGATCTATTAAGGAACCGTCATCATTTGGTTAGCGACACCAGCCATTTATACGGTACAGAAAGTTTTTGCGTAGCTCATAGATGCATTGGAGGCGGGCTGTATTGTTCAGGGAACCAGTAGGGGGGTTGTATTTGGGCCGAGAAAAATCTGATGGTGATTTTTCCCGCTTCATGGTGTTGTAAAATGGGTAGTCTTATGTACTCTGTGGTCTCTCTAGAAATAGTGATTGACTTTTGGTGATTATCCTGTTTATGCGTACTATATGTCCCCACCCCCGCGACAGCAAAATTCTTGAGAAAAAGTAGGGAAGTTCTCAGGAAATTTTGGACACGAAGTTGGCAAAAATCTGAGAATTGGTAGAAGGGAGGGGGGGGTCGTCTTGTACGGACTAAAATCCCCAACCAGTGATGTGCTCTTATTGAAGGGCATACAGATGGGCTTGATGGGCACGTCGTTGTTGTACAAACTCGACCAAAATCCACAACCGAGATGTACCCTGGGGGACCACAAGAGGAGCGGGTTTCCCAGGGCCATCATCCCCTCACTAGGTAGAGCACGCACGGAGGACCTGTATCCCGTCGTGCAAACTGTCCGCGGGAGATGAAGACACTTGCGATTGATCTAGAGTACACATAAGCACGATTCCAGTGCAGATCCAGTGCAGAATGCTCGCCGAACATGTGCACCTATTTCGGATGTCACACAGTGCACTACCCTTGAGGATCTACAGTGAACAGTCCGATGAGAAGAGATAAGGCTGGTACACATCCTCTTTATTGTTTTTTGACAAGAATCCTCTTCATATTGACATAAAATTCCGAATGCGTTCCAACACACACCATATATTAGAAAATTTTTTCGTTTCTCAATGCCGATGTTGTCTCAGGTACCAACAGTCTGTGTAAGGACTAGATTTGAATACATTTTCGGAAGTGAATTGCGACCTCCTCCTTGAGGCCGAAGTAAACGATTGCCGTGAAGCTGGTGCTAGGGTCTACAGTACCAACAAGCTCTTTCTCCTCAAGGTGGGGGACGGAAGCCGAGAATAGCAAAAATATTGTTTTCCTGTAGAATGGTGCATTGTGATAACAATTAATGCTTTCTTCTCTCAACTTCAAAACGAATGATGACATCCCGACTTGAAAAACCTTTTGAAGACTAGCACTATGCCCTTTAACTACATATATCGAAAGGTAAACCGAGTTCAGAGCGTGATTACCAACTTATTGATATTCACTTACAAGAAGTGGTATAGCGCGCATAAGGCACTTCTACGCCCTGGGGCATGCGACGGGAAACCGCTTTGTTTTTCTTTTCAACTCTGGATGCTTCACGTGCCTCTTTTGTCGGCCCCTGGGGTTCTTTCGCAGACGCCGATTAAATGGAAAATCTCCCTCGCACACTTCGTTCAACCGTAGGAGCACGCGAAACGTTGCTCCACGCTAAAACTAAACTCTTTTCTGCTCACATCAACAACAACCGCCTTTACTTCACTTCGCACCGCACCTCACCACCTGGAACTGTTGATGCTGCCTCGTTATGCAACCGACAAGGAGGCAGAAGCCGTTTTCGACCATTGGAAACTGACATAGATCTCACCTAATCACTTTGACATTACCCCAGTGATCCACTTGATGTTTATTATTGTATTATTTGTTCCTGACTAACAGTTATTGTACTGGGGCAAATCCGGGCCCGGTGATCGCAGTAAACATCGCATAGTTGGCCTGCAAACATGCAAGTTGGCCCAGGGACGCACGTCGACTTAGGTCCTGCGGGTAGGCGTCGATTTCTAACGGGCATGTACATACAATTGGTAAGGAAACTCTCCACTCCTGCGGCGCGAGCGGCTTCTTCTTTTTGCCTCCATCTCTCCTTGACAAGGCTAGACACGCATGCATCAGTGTCATGCCAGGCACGACACGCGGTCGCCCCTGGCATGACACTGATGCGTAGTACCCACAGGGGCGACCGCGTCGCGACAGGAACAATCTCCAACAGATCAGCTCTAAAATAGATATGGTACTCGCAGAAGCCAGAGTTTTCATAGATCAGTTCAATTCCAGTGCCACAATGTAAAAACATTCCATTCCAACAGCCACATCATCGTGCAATACCAATTTGGTGTACGGTATTAGGTGCGGTGCGGCTACACACGCCGCAATTTCACAGCACGACTAGTCGAGCTGTTCGCTACTCTCCTACTCTCCCATACTCTCTGCTCTCCGCCGCTGCAAACGTTGGCAAAAAGCTGTAAACGCTAGTGAAACGCTAGCGCACGCTGGTGACGCTAGCATACACGAGATCGATATCTATCCTTTCCTCGTCACTGCCTTTGCCGAACCATGGAAACGCTAGCGTACGCTGGACGCTGCCGCAATATGAACGCAGCCGAGCGGATAGGTCAGTGGCTGATTTTGATTATGTTGGCATAGTAATGGCTAGAGAGTTCACATAGGAGCTTCTAACACATGACAAAATAACGATTAAATGTAGTGGAGATGGTTCTATCTACATGAATTTGAGATTATCTCTTGTCTTCCGTCACCTTCAGTGTCCCTAACACTAAATCTTCATAACTTGTCAGTGTGAAAGCTTCATCACCATGAACAACCGATTAACGCAACATCCCTTATCGGCTCTTATCAGCTGTTATCGCCGTTGATCACTCACCGTGGGTGTCACCATCTCACCCTCTATGTACTTTGCTGGAACCAGCGCCTCGCTGATGCTCTGACCCGCGCTGCGAACACATTGACCCTATCCTTCCAGAGCCTTTTATGCAGTACCAGTTTCCGTATCCGACCGGTTCCTAATTTATTTAGAGACCAGTCGGATCGCCCGGCTGACGCCGAGCTCTCCTCCTTCTTTTAGCTCGGCTTCGCCAGGCGCACATCATAACGGGATGGAATTAGTTAATTGCCTGAGCTGCTCATTTTGAGCGGTAGTGGTCGAATCATAATAGATAGAGTAACCTAGCGAAATCTGCATTTTCTAGCGTGAAATAATAACTAACCTCCCGTCTTCCTGGTTTGATTGCGAATAGTTCGCTGAACTATTACTGTCCATCACGCTGTCAGTCTTTCGAATCGGATG